TAACGTTAAAGGACACCATTCGACTTAACACGATAATTATTGGCATATTCCTCTGCATACCTAACACTCACTCATTCGCCTCACTGCTTTGTGGTCTGAGTTATCTGCTAATAATAAAACTGTAGTCGCTGCTTCTCTTTGCCTTCTGATTTCAAACACCGTTGAGGATTATGTGTTAACGGTTACGAGGGTGATTGGTCGAAGAAGCACAACCACTACATAACCACCGGATAAATTTAAATTTATTGACCAAATGTCGCAATAAATTGATACAAGAAAGAAGTGTAACCCTTCATCAGTATGAATAATCTCACAAATAATAAAATGAACACATGTATGAAATATTTAATTGTAAGATTTGAATTTTGTGGATCATCCATTAATTCATAAAATTGAAAGCTGAATAAATTGACTTATGTACTGATCACTATAAAACAAAGCTCTTTTGTAATAATCCATAACTTTTAAGGTTTGAAAATGGGACACTTATAATGAAAGTTAAGATATTAAACTAAAAAACACTGGTCGATATTAAATAATTCAGCTAAGTTTGTTAATTATTTGAGATTGAAAGGCTAGTTATTATAAACAGTCTCTTTTTATATTTTTAATAAGAGGTTTGGGTATTTTCATGTTTATACGAAGAGTAATTCTGTGGAATAACAGATAACCAAGCTTTGTACTCTGCAAATGATACGAAGCATAATTTAACTATTTTAGTCTCCTCAGAAGTTTTGTTCCATTGTGAACAACTATTGTTATCATCGTTATAAATATTCTACTACTGTTGTTTTACAGTTAGTATCAACTTTACCATTAAGTCTACTCTGTCATCAACAATTTCTGTTTGTTATGTATGGTCGAATAGGCCATGATCATTTATTCCTATCTCATTCTAATATAAATTAAATATTGATTATTGTGGCATGCGATTTTAATTATTCTTACAAAGATGATGAACTGTGTGTGTTGATTACCATGAATCCGCATTTTATTTTTTTATATTAGAATAAGATTCAAAGAGTACAAAATTGTATTGATTCTTGTCATTCCATCGTTTCATTATTGCCTTTGCTTTACGAAGTGTTTCAAATTCTTGAATTTGTCAACAACAAAAAACTTGCTTCTGTGCAACTCACAAGACATTCGAGTACTATCGAATTAGATTTCGACAACCATATTAGCAAATATTATTGATCACAGTAGGTAGCGTACTGAATAAACACTTTATATGATAGAACATTTCATATTACTTAATTACGTCTGTTACCTCCAGTAAAGCATAGGCCGCTGAACAGTCAAGAAAGATGATGATACTGATTCTAGTGTGATGCATCTATAGTTTACCAGGTATGTTCTCAGATCCTACCCATCTGTTCCTCTGTTTTTGAATTTCAGTGATTTGCTTGCCTTCTTAGACCTTGACTGGTACCTCTGGTTTAGTATATTTCCCTGCCAGTTTCTTCGTCGTATCATATGGTTGTTTGAAGTTTCGTTCTGTTGCAGTTTTTTCCACTGTCGTTTCTAGGTCTTCCGTGTATTTCTATCAAGTGTTATTGGGTTGGTGCTCATTGTGTTGTATTTCGGAATCTTGCTTATTCCTTTGTGTGTTCAGGTCTATTGCTGTAAAGTATGCAACTACACTGACTTTCTTCACCTGTATTTATTGATGTGCATGAGATAGAAGAACTATGTCATCTTCAAATTACAAATCGTTCAGCTACATCCAAGATTCCTATTGTGTTACGTGTTTCTCCTCAGATGTGTAGGTCTTCGTAATCCAGTCAACCACCAGGTGAGAGAGAACTTAGGAGGGTAAACAGTCCTATCTGTCACCGGTTCTCATTCGAAATGCATCTGTCAGCTGTTCTCCGTGTTCAAAATTGCTGCGTAGTCCGTCGTATGAATTCTGTGTGGTGTTGACGATCTTCTCAGCTACTCACTCCATAGTATCAAGGAGGATTCTATAATGTTCTCTTATCCACTGTCAAACGCTTTCTCAAAGTCAAGAAAGGTGATGTACAGTGACGAGTTCCATTCAATTGATTGTTCAACAATGACCCGTAATGTCATGATTTGATCTGGGCACAACTTAACCTCACGGAAGCCAGTCTGTTGATCTCAAAAATGAGCGTCTACTGAATCTTTCATCCGGTTGAGCAATACTCTGTTGAAAACTCCTTGATACTGGTTCTAGTGTGATGCCTTTGTAGTTCACCAGGTATATTCTCAGATCCTACTGCTTATCCACTCACCACTTGTCTGATGACCATCTTGATTTCTTCGATCGTTGGTAGAGTGACAGCTATAGACAGACGTGTGTGTGTGCCGTTTCTATGTACGGCGGATTCAATGGAGCTAGTCAATTCAAGAGTTCCTGAAAATGCTATTCCCATCTGTTCCTCTGTTTTTGAATTTCAGTGATTTGCTTACCTTCTTGGTCCTTGATTGGTATCTCTGGTTTAGTCAGTCAGTCAATCAGTCATCTACAACGTAAGACCAGGCACATATATGCATCGGTCCAAGTTGCCATATCTCATTAACACAACAAGATGGACACCGGATTCATAAAAGTAGTTAATTCAGAGGTGGTAACATATAAAAGAAAGATTGCAATAAGGATGTAGTGCACGAAGAAAGAATTAGTTCTTAGAAAGATAGATATAAAGCGATTTTAATCTCTTAGTTTAAGGGAAGACAGAGAGTGTATACACAGACGCCATTGTGATTGATTCTCAGCCATGTCACCAACAGTCTCCAACCATTTGTTACGATAGTCACGCGGACCCCAACCAAGTAGTCTGCATTTACCAACATGGCTCAGACTAGAAGTTAGTGACTTCAAGCACTGATGCCACGTTTTGGTTTGGCCGCCCCTAACTTTCTTCCAACCATCCCCTACTCGGTTAGCATTGCACGTCGTAGTAATCGGTGTTTGGGCATACGTAACATGTGACCCAACCATCTCAGCCGATGAAGATTCACAACCTCATCTACTTATTTACCATCATCCCCTAATACCCTGCGTCTAACCTCCCTATTACTTACCCGGTGATCCCAGCAGATGCCAGCAATATTTCTGAGGCATCTGTGGTCAAATACTAGTAGCTAACGAGTGTCTTCTACTGTCAGTGGCCATGTTTCGCTGCCGTAAATTAAAACAGAACGAACTGCCGTGCAGTATACTCGTCCTTTTATTGATAGACGGATATCTCGCCTTCTCCATAGGCAAAAGCCAAGCGAGCTTTTCGAATCCGTGATGAGATTTCGTCAGACACCAACCCATTATGGCTGATCAGACTTCCAAGATAAGTGAAGTTGTCAACGCGTTCAACTACTTCACTCCCTATCCTTAGTTCAGGTGTTAACGCAGACCAGTCCTGAAGCAACAACTTGCATTTAGAGGGAGAGAATCGCATTCCAAACATTCTAGCATTGTTGCTTAGTGCTGCCAAAAGACTGAATTTTATCGGCGTCTTCACCAAACAGGACTATGTCATCTGCGTATTCTAAGTCGATAAGTGGACCTCCTGGTAGGAGATCAATACCCGAGAATTCAGTCGACGAGAATGTTATTTCCAATCAATAGGTCTATGATGAAGTTAAACAAAAATGGTTTAGTACATCTCCCTGCAAGTTTCTTCGTCGTATCATATCATTGTTTGATATTTTCTTCTGTTGCAGCTTTTCCCACTGTCGTTTCTAGATCTTCCACGTATTTGTTTTTTTGTTGTTGACTCTAATGCTCTTCTTCACTCGCTTGTTTGCTTCTGTGTGTTCAGCTTGTGCCTTGACTTTTCTTGTTCTTGTTCGACTGTCGTTAATTTCTTTCACCTTGTTCTTTCTCTCATTTTCATTGAATCCTGTTCAGATAAACAATATAGATCCAATCCTTATGATGATACTTCTTGGGGCATAGAAGCTTCTGACATGTTGTAGTTAATGCTTCATTGATCTCTTTACGGTTGTTCTTCATGGTAGTTTATTCCCTTTTGAGATTTTATAATGCTTGAAACCTGTTGTTGAGAGTTATCTTGAATTCGTTGAGTTTGTCAGTATCTGAGAGGAAGTCAGTATTGAACCATACTAACACTGTTTCTCCAGTTTTTCGGTATGTTTTTGGCTTCAGTTTCATCTTGGTAAATATCAGGCAATGATCTGAAGCTATGTCAGCTCCGTTCTTCTTTCTTACGTCTTCCATGAATCTTCTGATTTTTTTGTTGAAGCAAATATAATCGATTTAAGTTTGTGTAGTGTGGTCCGATGAAATACATTTAGATTTGTTTATTCGTTTATGAGAATATAGTGCCGCCTACAACAATTTTGTTGAAGTCACATAAATTTGCAAAGCTCTCGTCGTTCTTGTTCCTTCCTCTCTGTGCATTTTGTCCCATGATATCTTCATACCCAGTGTTGTCTTTCCCAAACTTAACACTCACATCTCCAATCAGGATGGTGATGTTCTCTTCTTAGCAGCTCTCTACGATTAACTGCAGTCTCTCAGCCTTCCAATCACCGACAAGGTGTGTCTCCTCATTTCCACAACTGCTTGACTGGTTCTCCCAGTCTTCCACATTGTCTGGACATGTCATATGCCAGTTGCTAAATAGTGTTATGTACCGAGTAAATACTAATCCCAAGAAATAAACTGTGGCTTATCGGTTATCAAATAACCTATGTTTTATGATATAAGTATTTCAATGAAAATGTATACTAAATATATACTATATCGTCTCATCATTATGTTTACCAGTCAGTGAAAATCATTTAGACAATGATTACAAATCATATACATAAGTGACTAAGTTCCATTTTCATTTAAACAAACATTTAACAAGTCAATATGCTTTACACCATTCAGATAAACACTACCATTAGGAAGATATTGAATTATCCCGTTGTTGATAATGCTGAGTGAATTTCGATTAGTTTTTGTTGGGATATATGTGTTCTGTACTGATTGCCTTGATGTGGCCAATTTCCACAAGTTCAGTCTAGTTTTTCATCAAACCAGCTGTCATCTAACCTTACTAGCTTACTGGGTAACTCGTTGAAGCAAAAGGTGCTGAATTAGAGTCTTTATGAAAATATCAATATTGGGGTTCAGGTACATCCAGTTGACAATTCCCCAATAGGACGAAGCATACATTCTGCATTCTACTGCTAGCCACATATCGATCCGTTTAAGTATACGTTAAATATATAAGAAGTTTTAGTTTGCACTGAGTAAACATATAAAACAAACCTTGACGGTATTATTGTTAGCAGTAGTAATGAAGATATTGACTAAATTTCACAACACGTACAATCTAAAGATCATAGATAATAAATAATCAAATTAACAATGACAACAAATGTTTTTACATGATCATTTATAATACCGTATATCTGTCAATAAAAAAGTGTAAGAATTAATTTAAAATGTAAACAATGAACATGATCTTACGATGGAGAAATTAAATCCACAACACAAAATAACCATAGAAATCGAAGAATGTACAATGAAAAATCCAGAAGGTTTAATGCAAAAACTAATCATTTGTCACTGATTACTTCATTGTCATCAATATGTCTGAAATAAATGCTGTATGTTTAGTAAAGGAAAGTAGCTGAGGAAGTTTCAAAAAAGAGGAAAATTTAGAACTGAAAAGCTAGTAAAACACTACTGATTATTCACATGGGATTTATATACATTTATAATGGCCTATTTAACACTGTTCAAAATTATAAACATGTGAATGGATAAAGCTTGATAGAGAATATACAAACAAAGCAGACCAATTCCAATGACATTTTGTTACTGAGACTAATATTTTCCTGAACTTTTGAATTCGTTGAGGAATTAGATGCCGTAGAATTCAATGCTTTCTCTGGGGGTATTTCGGTTTTCTTTGAAGATTCCTTTGTTTTGTTGTCATTCACCGGATCATCTACAAACAAACAATCAATCGAAAATAGTTTCTTTCTGTAGATTATAGAAAGTTTTGAAGGTAAATTTAATTTTATTAAAAATATTTGATTACTTGTTACTGGCAAACAACAACGCAATATTTTCAGAGTTCAAAAGGTTGAGTGCTATCAATTTTTTAAACTGAATAAATTGCATGTTTGGATTTAACAGGTAACCAAGTAGGAATATTAAAGCTTACATGAAAAAATTCACGAGTTTCATTTGTACCAGTTAAGAAACCGTTCAAATCACCAAGTTATTGATTCTAAAGGATGCAGAATCAACATCACAGTCAGCCATTCTTTAATAGAGAATCATTTTCTTTTTAACATTGTTCTATTAAGATGAATTACTTTTTAGTAAACGGAATATGTGGGGCCCTTTATTTTGTCGTCATTTAGATCGGACGATGTTGTCGAGAGGGCTCTCCACTTTAGTGGCCCAGTGGATCTGACTCCAAGGAGATTGTAATGATGATTGTTGTTGAAATATATATGTCACCTATCTTCGTATTTAATCATATACTTTAATGGCGTTAGTCAATAACGGATTTAGATAAGTCAAATAACGAGAATGGAATTTTGAATACATGTATTTTGTATATGAAGCTAATGAAATGGTGAGAAGAGAAGCGAAGCAGAGTGGAGATGGCGGGTAAGTCAACTCCCATTTAGCCAAACGTTAATCAATATTTATAGGCACACAAAAATAGCTTACAGACATATGATGAGTAATGGGATAAGAAATGTACACACACCTACGCGCTCTTATAAAAACAGTCAAGATTGATAAGCGAATAATTAACAAGGTCAGAATGTGACTCAAGTAGAATGAATAGAATGGGCTGTCGGAAAGCTAGAATAAGACACATGGGCTTAACATAACCGACACTACGAATACACCTATTAGAACATTAAATAAGAAAGATTAGTTCAGCGAAGTTCTCTTTTCGGCGAATTCATTTTCATAACTGTACAATCGCAAATGTATATACTTATTTTTACAGGATGATAATAATACTGATAATAAACTTCTGTTAGACATGGTGACAGTGAGATCAAATAAACAAAGGTCGTTCGACGCGTACTTTATCCAAAACAATTCGAGAACATTGTCCGGCGTGGCTAAAATGAGGAGGCGACGGTTCAATAAGAAATTCAATAATCGAACACGTTGTGAATACAGGTCACTCAATCAAGACGGACTCTGCGTTCAAACTCATCTACAAGGTAAGTAGAAGTCTTCCAAAGACAATTAAACTACATCCTCTTTGCATTGCTGAAGCATTAGCCATACATCTGGTAAAACCAGAATTGTGTGTCCATAAGAGACTGGTACAACTTTTTCTTCTACCATGGTCTTAATTTCTTATAATTTTTTTCTCCTTCTCATACTCTTCCTCCTTTGCAGCCATCTGCTACACCTTCCATCTTCCTCTTAAATCCTCTACCCCCAACTGGTTTATTTTGTTTCCACGATCATTCTGATTTCATTTATTCTCAATTTCAACATCTTATCTTATCATACTGAGCCATCCGTTCACATTGATAATTTCCCTATCTATTTTTTGATGAATACTTAAGCCATTAACAATCAAACCATTATTAAACTTTCCTTGCTTTATAAAAAAATCTTTTTAATACCTTTGTTTATTAGACCTCACCGTCACCATGTCTAACAGAAGTTTATTATCAGTATTATTATCATCCTGTAAAAATAAGTATATATATTTGTGGTTGTACAGTTTCGAAAATGAATTCGCCGAAAAGAGAACTCTTTGCTGAACTAATCTTTCTTATTTAAACTACTCTTTGTCAATGCTAATCTTGCTCAAATTTTGATAGTACATATTGTATTTTAACCGTCACTTAATAGACCATAATGCTTTTATTTGTTGAAGATTTTCAGTAGTTTAAGCATTATTACTGATATTGATTTCAATCAATAATGTATTGATTGAAGTAAATTTAGCAAGACTATAATTTATGGTCGAAACAATCAAGTATAAGATAACAGGTCTCGGATTTTGGTGTGAAATTCACTCATCCATTTGCTTAAATAGAGTCTCGGTATTATAACTGATGTCAGTTCTTGATGAAAACCCTAAATTTAATTCATAACCTTAACTGTCCACTGTAAATCATAATTCGAATTCCTCACATTGCTTTATAACCCTCATTTGATCCTAGTTATTAGGTGAACACCTTCAAGGTCACTTTAGCGTTGTTCACAGGTCGTCCATGAATTTTAGACTCAGCGTAATTTTTTTAATCTAGGAAACTTTTTGTTGTTATAAATGAAACGTGGTTATTTTTGTATATTTTCTAAATTTTGATAATCCCTTCTATATTCTATGTGGTTAACAGAAAAATGCATCGGAGTACATTTAAGTACAAAATATCAATTTAAACGGAAAAAATAATACAAATCCTAGAATTCACTATTGAAAGACCATAGATTTTACTACTTTATTTGGTAAAATCGGAGTCATGTTAGAAACAAAAATAAATATTAACATATGAGTTAGGCAGAGTAATTATTCAAACATTTGAAGGGACAAAACTAAAAAAATGATCGAAGGGAACTGAAATAATTGCAGTAGAAATTTGACATAATAAGATACATACCATTTTATTATGGTTTGAAAATAGACAAAATGAATTGGGCTCAACCCTATCATTCGGTTTATTCTTCAAAATTAACTAATAAACAGGAAAAAATGTTCTCCAACTTTATGATAAGATAATACTTTCTAAATCTAATTCTTATACAATTAAGATAGTTAATAGTAGCTAAAGATGAAGTCCATTAACAGTGATCATATCAGTGAGACTACGTATCACAGATGTATAAAAAGTAGAAATACGATTCAGTAAACTTCGTAAATGTGATCTTTTACAAACGCACAACGATCATAGGGAGTCTAAATTTCAATACCCAATCGTAACCTAAATGCTATACATAGACTCACGTAAACAATAATAATAATACTGCGTTACTATCAGCTGTGGACAGTGTTGTAGGATTCCAGTTGGTTTCATTGTTTAAATCACTAACTAATCGTAGATGGACCACTACTGAAAACCAGGGAATACTGGATAGCCTTTCTGTCCAATGGTGTACTGATGTATCTTCGATCAGTTCACGATGTTGCGCAGTCATCTTTCATTGTATGAGGTGAATAACTTAATTAACCGTGTCTGATTTCTACCGATCACTGCGTCTCACAAGAACTTCAAGAATTTCATCTTGAAGCCAATTTTAATAATAAAAAATTATTATCATAAAATGGTTTTGCGTCATTTATCTGAAGCAATTCAATACAGCTATTTGTTTACTTCAACCTCAGTTGGATATTCAGAGATCACATCCACCTTTTGCTGAGAAATCAGATTTCTGATAATAATCAGTCAATAATTCCAGTATCCTTAGTATACTATACTACTAATTATTTTCTGTAGGAAAACGAACCGACATTTTAATAGTAAGGTTTATAAACGAAAAAATGTTAGATTTGCTTTACAAAAACATTTTGGTTTATTTTTTATTCAAACTAGAGTATATAAATACCTTGTAGTTTTTTCTTAGACTCGGATGAATTGTCGAAAGATTCATTTTCAATAAGTACTGTGTACTGTCTTTCATTAGCATTATCGTCGATTGAATTGTCAGCAATATTTAATTCACAATCTTCATCATCTACAAAACATCCTTGAACCACAATTTGATCCGACAAATCATCTGTATTGACGATTTCAGCTCTGTTGTTAGTTTCACTAAAATACTTCGATGGCTTTGATTCAAAAACATTTGGATTCATTTGAGGTATATTTATATCACTTGACAAAAGAGAAGGATGTGTACCACTTGACTCTGAAATGAATAAGCCTTCTCGATCTGATTTCTTCTGATTAAGTAGAGGGTTAGTCAATGGAACATCATTCTTAGAATTCACCTACAATGAATAAAATGTGGACTATGTAAGAAATTCAAAAACTATAACCCTACACAAACATTATGACAGCTAAGTGTACCTTTATAATTTACGTGTTATCTACTGAATGATATCATTGATACTTAGTGAAATCTAGTTTATAACACATAGCGAGGATACTTTTCAGTGTATCATTCAATATATACAACTCTTGCGGCTATAATTCACGTTTCAAACAAATGAAAAGTCAATTAACTCTTAATGCAGTATAGAATATCTAGCAATTCTACTTTAATTCACAAGATAGGATTCGATCGATGGAAATCAAATCTCCCAGAAGAAAAAACAAATTTCTGTGTATTTATGTTTGAGAGAAAAGTGAATAATCTATATTACTCACTAGAAATTTATTTAATGACTAGTTTACTTTCCCATTTGTAATAAAAGATATTTTTCTTTTCAACTGATCAGAACAATTACAAAATCTTGGAAGACATTTTACATTAAACCGATGGGAGCATAAATTGTTTACTTATAAAAACAAAAACAATTTCAATATACTTAAAACTATGCAAGTTTTTGGTTTGAATTATAAAGGTGTATTTCGTAACAATCTATTAACACAGTTCATTTGTATCATTTTTCTAATATGATTGATTATCTAAGCCTTCAAAAAGCCATTACACCACATATTCCCGTTAGATGTTAATGACCAATGCTCCTCTCTTCATTATTTGCTTGAAATTACCATTATTCAAAAGCATACAATAACTTGTATACCTTTATGCTTTATTCTAAATAACAAGTTTATTATTCTAAGGTTTCAAATTGACTGAAACAATTGTGATCGATTTTATTTACGAAATTAAGCTTGATGATTTGATTAAAATCCAAACAGTGACCAACAATAAAATAACCTCCTTTTTTAAGCAGGATTGTATAGGGGTTAGCAAGGACAGTAATTCCACCTGTTTCGTTCTTTTCTGAATTCGCCAGCTGTACGTACCAGAACCCCAGTACAAATATTCACACATGGACTCTAACCAAGTACCTTTTACTTGAAATGCCTAACGCGTTATCCACTGAGATACTGAGTCCAGATAGCCACTGGCTTGTGTAACGGAGTGAATTTTAATCCATTTATTTTGGTTATTTGAATATTCCCTGGAATGTTAAGTGGACTCAGTATCTTAGAAGATAACGCGTTAGGCTTTAGAAGCACAGGAGTACTAGTATATCCAGCTAATGAGTCTCTAGTAGGACAAAACGCACGTACTGCATTTCAAGAATAATCGCTATCCGATCCTCCTAAAGTATGCTTGTGACTTAATGTGAGCATCGAAGTAATCCTCACATGGTGCTTATACACCGGAAAAGATTGATAAATTGCAGTTCATAACATCAACAGGAAGATCTAAATAACCAATCCGAAAGGAATTAAATAACTTTTTATTTGTAGTATTTACCAGACTACACAAAGTGTTATAAAGTGAAAAAGTCTTAGTCTTGAATACAAAATTAGTTTTGTGTTTCATCTCATAAACGTAAACTCTATCCATAAGAGGGAAATGAACTCAAATCTTTGATGGGTATATTTTTTACACTGAAATATATACTATCAAAGAGAAAACATTTTCAGCTACCTACTTGAAATTAAATCTCAAATTTTAATATAAATTAATTTTATCTAGCGTGGAATGTAATTCAAAGATACAAAACATATGTAGCTGAACAAAAGTTTCAAGTTTTCAGCGTCTGAATAGTACTTTTATTAACAAATATCTACCTCAATTTTAATCTTAGTAGGAAAAGAGATAGCTTTTAAATAGTCAGTTTCATTGTATAGTGCCAGAGTAAAACGTTATTTATTATTAAATGTGATCTACCTTTTGAGCATTATTTTCCTCTGTCCGCTCCTTTCGTATAACATTCTTTTCTTTTGAAAAATTGTATTTTAAATCATTGCTTGTTATTTTCACTTCGGGATTATTTAACTGTCCATTTATAGTGAACTCTGGAACTTGACGTGTATACCTGTAAATATGTAAGTATTGAATAAGTAAACTTGAATGTTAGAATTTTGCAATATTTATCATCCACAAAATATTGGAATTGCTATAAACCAAATTGCATACATATAATTAGTCGACATTCTAACGTATTTGAAATTCAATGAAACATTTTTTTCTGAACGTAAATAAAACTACTGCACAATTATAAAATAATTAGCACTTAACAAAAGTAAAGTGCGATTATATCTGTACCCGTGTATTCAATTATGTGAAGTAATTAACCAATAATTCTAATCTCTGGCATTGTATTCCATACAGACCCCAAAATAATATTCACTTTGTAGACAGTTACGCAACATATTTAAAATTACATATGAAAGTATATGATGGTTTGAAATATGTCACCAGTTCATTTATTCAGTATAGTTAATTAGTTTACTAAATTTATGAAATGAGGTATAACTATGAGTCTCGAAGACTTGTATATAGATCACTGGTTTATTACGTTATATGTTTTTTCTTTAAATTCATTATTTCTAGCTATGAATTCTACTTACAGCCTGAGTTCGCAGTACAGCTACTACAATAATTAACCCAATAAACTGTAGAATAAAATAGTCATATAGATTTTGCATACATCTTATTGGTAGTTCACTTACATAATGACCAATAAAAATAACTTAAGGGGATGCCCTATTGTTAAATAGCATATTTAATAACAGTTGAGTAACGTTAAATGCAGCAAATATTATAACATTAAATAAATCTTATTAAAACATTACAATTTAATAAATAACTTTGATTATCAGTCGTGACAATAATATTTAAGTAGTTCGATGAATAAATCAATGTCATAGTCGACGCCCATATAGTTTTGTTCGGCTTATTTTATCCTTTAATAACAAATAATACTAATGTTGTCAAGAATAGGTTTGCGGAGATTGTTGAGTTTCACTTAAATCATGAATCAATCCGTGTTAACATTAATTAGTTCAGAATTTCAAGGATTAATATTTATGACGATAGTTTGGGAGATCAAAGTGAACCTTAGAATAATAACAATAATCAATTTATTCAATATTGTATACTTAGTACAATATGAAATTCTCAGCATACAATATTTCAACAACTTCCTCGTACTGTAAAAATACGTTAGAAAATGTATAAATATATGAATTCTTAAAATAAATAAAAAAATTTGTCCAAAGTTAACAAGCAATACACGAATCTATATAATGGAGAATCGGCGACATGTTCAAGTACATAGATCTTTGGTTAATTAAACTCTAACAACCTGTCCGTTGTGGAGTATATTGTCCTAGGTATGGTATTATAAAGCATGTGTACTTGTGTTTGAGAGTATGAATCGTAATATAATTGCATTTCATTCTACTAGAAGATCTACAAGTAGGAAGATGTGAATAGTCGTTTCTTAGTATAGACTTAGGAATGATTACATTTTATTTAATAGGGAATTAGTTCAGAGTTAAAAATTGTTATGATAGTAAACTTTTAAAAGATTTTAAATTGTGAAACTATGATATAACAGAAGTTAGATTATATTATATACTTTACACCCAGCAACTTTGTATCCGATAAACAGCATAATACCTATAGAATATTGAGTTTAAAACTAATGGCCCACATATTCATTTAGCTTACAATATATGTAAATAAAATGCTAGGTAAATATGAATTCACTTGAAAACAATTTAGGAAATAATTCAAATATTGATTGAATATTGCCAGTAATTGTGACAAGCCACCTTTAAAATGTTGTTTGAGTTAAATAAAACAGGAATTACAGATTGAAATTTAATGAATTACACAATAAACTGAATACGTATTGAAATATCTGTAGAATGGTTTTAAATTAGAATAGCAATTCCTTGGTAAACTAGATAAACATGAATAATAATAAGTAAAAATAACGGTGTAGCATGTTTTTCTAATTTAATATTATCACTTTGTATTTATTTACCTTCGAATAAATTGATTGTACTAACCATTATGAAACAAATTATCAGCTTATATTTAAATATTTAATAGGGTTTATGTTGAATCATTTATATTCATTATAAATCTGGTTGTGGACAGATATACTCGATTTTGCAGACAATTGTTCAATATTACTTTATTCATATTAACCATTCGTCTTATTGACAGACTTCTCCTTGTGAATCCTATGAATTAGCAATAGATAATTACGGTGGAATGCATACACACTCAAGGAGAAATAATAAGAAATAATAAAGAAATGGTTCATTAACCACTTGTTATATGTAAAAAATACTTTGGAAAGTGAAGTAACTTAACATGTTGACTATCGATAACAAAATGTTTTTTTGATTATTATTGAGTCGTTACAGTCATAATTCAGCACAACTTATTTGTAGTTTGTTAAATTTGAAATTAACTGACGACTGTTGAATTGTATTATATAGTGTATAATTAAACAATTATAATTACTTGTATAATACAACACTGAAAATTAGGAAAGAAATATTTCCCGATTTTCGTATCTACACAGAAAATGACCATTTTAAAAGTGTCTAATTGAAAAACCTGATCTGATTGTGTTTTGCTTTGATTGAAAAGAATTAAGAGTTGTAGTTTATCTATGTATGATAACTAAGTATGCAAGAAATATAAACAAACATAGTTGAGAATAGAATATTTAAATACAACAAAATTCGCATATAAAATAAGTGTCGTCTTAATTTATTCTTTTCATTAGAGTGATGAAATACACCTGAAACGTTTTATTAAGTTACTTGCGTTAAAATAAAGGCAAGATAAAGACAACAGTGATTTTTATTTTAAGTTACAATTTAGAATTGGTCATAAGATTTTAAAACTTATTCACTAAATCTCATGAATTCAATTATTAAATTACAACAATCTCCACAAAACTTCTCTCTGATTATAATCATAATATGCTCACTAGTGACTATCTCCAAGAGTTATTTCCTGGAGTTGTAATGAGAATCCGTGTGTTGTGACATAATAATTTACTAAAGACAATAGTGGACGGTGGCGCGATTTCGTGGATTATTTGGAGCCAGACATTAACACCGTAGGATGCCGGCTGGCTCAGTGATCTAGAGGTTAAGTGTTCGCGTGCAAGACTGATAGGTCCTGGGTTCGAATTTCTCGGGGCGAGATCGTGGATGCACACTGCTGAGGATTCCAATACTAGGATGAAACGGTCGTCTAGTGCTGGTGCGTTTTCCATGGTGTTCTAGCTTTAATTGACTCAATTATTAAATTACTACAATCTCCACAAAAAACCCTTCTGATAATAATGATAGTAATAGTTAAATAAAATTAACGTGACGAAAATACAAAATCAAAAGATAGTTTATACATAAGTCATATTAAGTTATTCTATAATTAAAATCACTGTTGATTTATTAAAATTGATGTTGATGAAGTTAAGGAAAGGGATTAAACATACTTTTGATTGAAAGAGTGATAGGTAAAAGGTTATTTATTTAAAAGTAGTGAATGTATAAAACGTTAACAGACAAATTCTTTTCATAATTCCTTTTTGATGGAAATTTGTTCTTTGAGCTGGATGGTTTGGTCGTAGAGCTTTCATAGTTCCTATGAACGACATCATCAGCACAAACTTCAGATAGAAGTCATAATTCATAATTCCTTATTCAAATTTTTTTATAAAAAAAAGACTAAATTAAACTTATCATTCTGAAATTTCTATAGACCAGATAGAAAGTTGTCATTATAAGAAGGAAAAACTCTTGAAACTAATCATATTAAAGAATCAACAGTAATATTTATTTGTATAGAGACTAGAAAATATGATATCATTGTTTGGTTTTTAATTTTTATTTTTAAAATAAAAAAAGCCGTGGCCAGTGGAGCTAATCAGTGTCGAGTAGAAACAGGTGTCTACCTCAGTACAATGGAAAATGGTCGCGCAATTTCGTGGATTCGTTGAGTTTAGACATTAACACCAGTGGATGCCGGCTCAGTGGTCCAGTAGGTTAAGCGTTCGCGCGTGAGACTGAAGGCCCCGGATTCGAATCCCGCGAGCGGGATCGTGGATGCGCACTTCTGAGGAGTCCCACAATAGGACGAAACGGCCTTCTAGTGCTTTCAGGTTTTCAACGGTGGTCTAACATCAATTGATTCATGATCTCAATCAAAAAAGTTGTTTAGTTAAGCTTTCATTGAGAGAAAGAAAAAATACTTTGTCCAAATAAATCTAAACTTAAACATTGTTACATAATGAAATAAAAATAAATCGACTTAAAATTCAAACACAAGAATGATTGTAATCAACATTGGTAATATAAGTTAATAATAACTATCAGTACCATAAGTATTTGAAAAAAAACTAAGACATTTTAGTTATTTAGTTGCTAGGTATTAATTTATTTTATTCCAGTTATAGTTGATAAGAACAGTTTAAGTATTAAATTATTATACCGCCAGGTATTTCTTTTATTAATTTTACATTTGTGTACAAAATATAACAAAGACTAGAACTATTTATAAATTTATCAACTACAATTTCAACTTATGAAATTTTCATTGGTAATATTATTTCTATGTCATAAGTTATTAACATACTTTAAACAAATCTATAACTTAACGTAAAAATACAATAATTTCTTAATTATTTATAAATAGTTCACTTTCGTGAATAGAAGTATATTTGAATTGAAACATTAAAATAATATGAACACCAAAAATTAGAATAATAAGTTCTAGTTTTTATTGACCATCATCATATTGATTGGATCTATATTGTTAATTTGAGCACGATTCAATAAAAATGAGAGAAAGAACTAGGAGAATGAAATTAACAACAGTCAAACAAGAACAAAGAAAGTCAAGGCACAAGCTGAATATACAGAAGCAAACAAGTGAGTGAAGAATAGCACTGGAGCCAACAAAAGAAATACGTGGAAGACCTAGAAACTGGCAGGGAGATGTACTAAACCAGAGATACCAATCAAGGACCAAGAAGGTAAGCAAATCACTGAAATTCAAAAGCAGAGGAACAGATGGGAATAGCATTTTCAGAAACTCTTGAATTGACTAGCTCCATTGAATCCGCCGTACATAGAAACGGCACACACACACGTCTGTCTATAGCTGTGACTCTACCAACGATCGAAGAAATCAAGATGGTCATCAGACAAGTGGTGAGTGGATAAGCAGTAGGATCTGAGAATATACCTGGTGAACTACAAAGGCATCACACTAGAACCAGTATCAAGGAGTTTTCAACAGAGTATTGCTCAACCGGATGAAAGATTCAGTAGACGCTCATTTTTGAGATCAACAGACTGGCTTCCGTGAGGTTAAGTTGTGCCCAGATCAAATCATGACATTACGGGTCATTGTTGAACAATCAATTGAATGGAACTCGTCACTGTACATCACCTTTCTTGACTTTGAGAAAGCTTTTGACAGTGGATAAGAGAACATTATAGAATCCTCCTTGATACTATGGAGTGAGTAGCTGAGAAGATCGTCAACACCATACAGAATTCATACGACGGACTACGCAGCAATTTTGAACACGGAGAACAGCTGACAGATGCATTTCGAATGAGAACCGGTGACAGATAGGACTGTTTACCCTCCTAAGTTCTCTCTCACCTGGTGGTTGACTGGATTACGAAGACCTACACATCTGAGGAGAAACACGTAACACAATAGGAATCTTGGATGTAGCTGAACGATTTGTAATTTGAAGATGACATAGTTCTTCTATCTCATGCACATCAATAAATACAGGTGAAGAAAGTCAGTGTAGTTGCATACTTTACAGCAATAGACCTGAACACACAAAGGAATAAGCAAGATTCCGAAATACAACACAATGAGCACCAACCCAATAACACTTGATAGAGAAAATTTGGATGAGATGGGTAGCAGTATCATCTATGAACAAGGAGTATTTGATGCAGAAGTAAAGGGGACGTTCGGTAAAGCAAGAGTAGCATTCCTACAACTGAAGAACACATAAAACTCGGAACAATTGTCAGCCAACATCAAAGTCAGATTTTTCAATACGAATATCAACACAGTTCTTGTGAACGGAGCTGAAACTTGGAAAACTACCACAACAATCACCTAAAAAGGTGCAAGCATTTATAAACAATTATCTAGGTAAGATACTTAGTGCTCGTCCTCCGGATACCATCAGCAACAACGTGCTGTGGGAGAGAACAAACCAGCCTCCATCTGAAAAGAAAATTAGGAAAAGATTCTGGATGTGGATAGGACATACATTAAGTCACGAGGCAAGCGCTTACTTGGAATCCTGTAGTGCAAACGTAAAGAAAAAGACTAATGAACACTGCGTAGGGAATCTAAAGCAGACGCCAAAATAACGAATAGAGAATATTAATGACTTGAAAGGATTGCTCAGGACAGAGTTCGATGAAGTGCCTTGGTGGGCAGCCTATTCTCCTCCGCGAGAGGTTGTAGGCCTAAGTAAGTAAGTTTTCATTGAATGAACCAGTTTCCAACTTTCTATGATTTCTATGATGAAGCTTTTCACTTTTTATAATATAACAACTTATCTATGTTTAGCCTTTCTCATTATCATTGATAATTCTACTATTTTTACTCTTTTGACATTGTTATTTTAATATTTTGATGCTTATTTATTTTGAGAACTCAGGTTAACATGTTTGTACCTAGCTCTATCTTAAATATGATTAAATCAACAGACTATCTTTGATTGTATTTCAGTAGTGACATCTTGGTAAGTATTTACTGATATAATTACTATACCGCGATAACTAATATTGTACAATACAATTAGAGCTTCGGAAGACTGTTAGCACTCAGAGACTGTTATACATTGCATTTCAGTGATTAATTCTAATTTGAAAATGTTATCTGTTTTTTGTAAAGACAAAATTTTAAAAGTTTATTCCACTTAAAATTATCTGAAATCAGAATACTTCAACATCAGTTCTTAAATTTTATAAGACACAAACTAGAAAGCTCATTTTTAATGTCAAACAATATAGATAATTAAGGGAATAACAAATTTTATCCTATAAGTTTCGAAGTGCATTTTCAGATACAAAAGTAACTCATGATTTTAGCTGTCTGCTCTATGGTCAATTATCTTATTATGAAATTATTATCATTATTATTAATGGCTTTATTCAATATTATATTGTGGTACAATATAGAATCATCGGCACAGGGTATTTCAACAAGTTACTCACGCAAAAAACCAGTGGCAAAGACAAAAAAACGAAAGAAAAAGTTCAAAAAAAGGAACCGAAAAACTGCACAACTTTTCAAATCAAAGACATGTTAAGAATGCAGGTTATTGACTACGTTAACTCTAACAACCTGTTTGTCACAGAGTAAATTTGCTAGGTAAGGTATTATAGAACTTTTATACTTTTGCTTGCGTGCATGGATTTTAATGTAATTACGTCTCGTTCTACCAGAAGATATACAAGGAGAAAGATAAGAGTGAAGGGGATGGTTAGTATGTAATAAAATAACACCTGCCAGGAGTTTGCATGACTTTAGATGTCTATCCACAACCATATTAATTATGACCTCGAAAGATTCGCCGCATATCTTGCTGACTGCCTTCAGCACTCTCTGCAATACAGCAGTCTTTTCTCAAAAGCCCGGAAAAGAATAATTGAGAACAGTAAAGAATAATAGACAAGTAAAAGACGAGTAATCCCAAGAGTATGCAATCTCTTTATGTAGTAAGTCAGACGGAAAACCTTCTTCGATAACAATAAAATGTGGGAATACCAAGAGAGATCAGAGGAAAAGGTAACACCGAGATAATTGACCTTCGACACTGTGTTTGCCAAAGAGTCTCCAATGGCACCGTAAAACATTAAAATCTCTCTCTCAAAAATTAGATTAAAATGTAACTGTATCTCTTTATAACCAGCAACCAGAATAATAAATGATTCACATTGTGTAAAAAAGGTTTCACTTACCGATCAAATGATGATCCATTCCAGCATCGATTTTTATCTTCTTGTGAACAATAAAGTAACTCAATATTGCTCATATACTGAACTTTATTGTCTCTGTCATGAAGATATGAATTTAGATCTTTCGCAACTTTCTCAATGAAATTGTTTAATTTATCGTATTCCTCAGTGTTAAGTTGCAAATAATTACTCATTGTTTCATTTAGTGTATGATCATTTCCATTTAAGTTACTGAACAAACCTATAGTAGTTTGTAAAGTACGCGGCTTATTTTTTCTACAAAACTTCTCAAGCTATAAACAAAATAAAACGGAAATTACAACTTTTGCAATATATATATATATATATATAATATATTACCGTGTATACCTTAACACTGGTGTAATTTGGGTATCACGACTTTGTTTTATATGGACTTTTGATGTTTTGTCCATCATTATTTATTTCTTGAGATAAACACTTTATTTTTTATAATATTATTAGTTAGGATTATCCCACTCTGATACAATTAGCGAAGTTCTGACCAGTCTGTGTTGGCAATCGTGTATCCTGTGAGGTTTCCCTCGATACAGCCATCTGGTAACAAGTTCTATTAAACAGATGAATTACATTTATGAGTAGAATGTAGAGCAGACGTTTCATCTTGGCCAAGATTCTTCAGCTATAATAATTTGCATCCTAGTGTTTCTGTTCACATAGAGACTCAAGCCACATGTCTTTCGCTTTAGGAGTTCATTACGTTACTCATTAGCTAGTAATCACGGATAGACGCTAACTTGTTCAATGTTTGTGATACTTTTAGAATTATCAGAACGTGTTTAAACTGTCTCGATTAAACCCAGTGAATAGAACGAACTCCTGTTTTGCCGCTAACCATAATCCATATGTTCTATAAAACATAAATGCGTCAACATGTGTGCTTCATTGTAGATTTAAAATAGTGCTGAAATTCATATTGAACAATCAGTTACTTTATAAGCGGTTATATTACTTAAATCTCAATTAGGTTAATTATCGACTTTATCATTATTTTTATGATTCGTTTTGTTGTTTAGCTTTGTATTTTTAAGCTAACTTTGATCTTTATATTAATGCTAATATCTACTATGTTATTAACGTTCTTTGATTAAGATATGATGAAGTCAAACAACGAAACTTAATAAACACACAACTTTGTTGACCGTAGTTGTTGAATATACTTAAGAAATTTAAGATTACAATTGGAACACCAATCAACATAAACCAGACATAGAATCGCGCAATACGATCCTTAAAAGTCCATAGATATTAGAAAAACTTACTTTGGGTTGGATTAAGGCTTCATTTTCGTTGGCTTCTTTAATCCCTTTTTTAATTAAATGATACACAGTAGTGGCACTTAAAAAGTAGCTCAAATCATCAAAACGAATTGGGTTTGAGTAACTCCATGCTAACTTCTGATTTGAATAGATGAATTGTTTAGGAAAAAATAAGATATACGGAGCTAAACATCCGCGAAAAACATTTATACAGTAACTGTTGCATGGGTTTGAACATACTTGTTTAGTATCAGCTGCAAAGCACTTATCTAAATTCGGGCAACCCAAACTGAGGTCCCTCATACAATGACTGCACGATTTGCTGGGTCCTGAATTCAAAACTGTTCTCGTCATCTGAAACATGCAAGTTCAGTGATATTAAAAGTGAATAAATGGTCTGAATCAGAGAGGCGATGAGCATTTAAATAAGCTTGCTTTCATTTAGCAAGTAATTATTGAACATTTCCCATTATATTAAAAAAAACACAATTGTATGAAAGAAGAATATTCTTTTTAATAATTTCTCATCAGGTTCTACAATTATAAATCCAAATTAATAATCCATAAAATTGGCCAGATTTAAGGCAGAGTACGTCCTTTGGAAGTCGTATTATGTGAATTAAGAATTGTTGTTTGTTATCAAATCAGATCGTTAATGTTGGGGCTGACTAATATGAAGTTGTTAACCAAACATATACGAAACAATTAAGCCGATAGGTACGCATTTACCTAGGTTATACGGACTGCCGAAGATACATGAACCGGATATCCCATTAAGGTCAATTTTGGACATGTACGATTTCCCATATCATACTGTAGCAACGTGGTTAGTAACCGTTTTGAAACCACTCCATAAACACCTGGTGAGACATAGTAATAAGGATGTATTCCGATTGTTGACAAGATTAAAAACATAAACACGAAAGATCAAACGATGATGTCCTTTGGCGTAACATTATTGTTCACAAATGTCTCACTCAGAGAAACTGTAGAATATATTTGTGAATAATTTGGAAAACAGGATATGGAAACGACAATCCCTGTGGAGATCATCAAAGAATTATTACTAAAATGTACTATGAATGTACATTTCAAATTCAATGGTGAAATCTTCAGACAAATAGATGGTGTCGCGATGGGTTCACCCCTGGGTCCCATATTGGCAGACATTTCTCTCTCTAAACTGGAAAACTGCCAACTAGCACAAGAGATCGACAACTTTTCACTTTACTACCGATATATGGATGATACATTTATCCTTTGTAACAACCATACATACTTCCTAGAAACACTCGAGCGTTTCAATACAGTTCACCCGTCCATAAAATTCGCATGGATGGAGAAAAATGGGGGTAGAATAGCCTTTCCAGATGTTCTTCTTACAAGGAGGAAGGACGGGTCGCTAAAAAGAAACATATACAGGAAAATTACTTGGAAGGGTTAATATGCAAACTTTCTTGGTTTTGTTCCTCTACATTACAAAAGGAGCCTTATTAAGATACTGCATCATAGAATCAAGACTATATGCTCTGTGGATATGACTGAAGATGTAACAAAGGCATCATGCACAACCCTGAAAGAAAATGGATGTCCCGAGAAATTTACAAATAAAAACGGCCAATAAAAGACAGCATAGAGAATATCTAACTGTAAATAAAAAGCCTATGTATATACGCTTACAATTCAGAGGCGATGCACCGAGTGAAATGCTAAGACTTATGTTAAGCAGATTAATTCAAAGGACTTTTGATGCGGGTAAACTACAACTAACGTTCTCTACACGACCAATAATCACTCCGAGGTTGAAAGATAAATTACCTAGACTAGCCACTTCTCTCTGTATCGATCGTTTATCGCAAAATTTCATTTTACTTATAAACTGATTCAAGTTAAAAACTTCATATTAGTCAGCCCCAACATTAACGATCTGATTTGATAACAAACAACAATTCTTAATTCACATAATACGACTTCCAAAGGACGTACTCTGCCTTAAATCTGGCCAATTTTATGGATTATTAATTTGGATTTATAATTGTAGAACCTGATGAGAAATTATTAAAAAGAATATTCTTCGTTCATACAATTGTGTTTTAATTATTGAATGATTGTTGTACATTAATTACTTACCTTTTAACTTTCGTCTAAACTTTTTTTACCATTATGACTCAGTCCAGTGATTTAGAAGCATATTTTTCATTTTTTTGATAAGAATGTAGTGAGAGCAGAAAAATTATCCAAAATAATCATTTGAATTTGAGGTGAAAACTGTTTTATGAAGTCTTTTGACCACTTAGTGTTTATAAATTTAAATTAAGTTGAATAACAATATTTCAAAATCACAGCATATCTTAATGTTTAAAACTTTTACATAAATGTAAACGTTTGTGTTCTCCCTCAACAAACCTTTGAATCGTAGAAATCCCTAATAATTATTATTACTGAGCAGCAAAAGGTCCCCAGAGATGACTAAATTTAGAATTTTACGCTGAACTGCAATAACCAGCAAATGTGTCACTTGAAAATTGAAGAGAAAGTAACAGCCCGTGACCGAATGGACTCAAGGAAACAACATTCTCCATTAAAAACTAATAAGAGAAACTGCTGTTATAATTTACTTTTCACAAAACATAAAACACTTTAGATTCTATTAAATTATTTTTGCCTTGGACCATATCTAATGCCCCACCACGCAATTTCAGGCAACTTATTTATCTATGCAAAAACGAACTAACAAATATCATGAAATTGCAATGCTTTGAGTTGCTTAGCTTATATTTTAGGTGACGGGATTTGTGATTATTATTAACCGACTATGCAAATTGATGTTTTGCTTAAATTTTAGTTGTAAAATTTACCTTATGCAAAATGTCTTGTCGTCAAAAAATAACGTTCAATGGGTTAGTTCATTTAATAGACCTATTTTTCAACGAAGTAAAATAATATTACGTAAATGGACCCGTAAATGAGTGATAGATTTCTTCTTTCCATAGATTCATACTTTAAAAGTAAAGGCTCAATAAATAACAATTCTCAAACGATCTTCATGGCGAATCATATTTACGACAAATACATACTTTGAATGACCATTTTAACAGTTAGAACATGATGATTACCTACTTAATTCTGATTAATCTAGTTATCTGAAAAATACTTATCCACTAATGTTGGCATTATGTACCTCAAAATCCGCTTTTCGTTATTAATAATTGCTTCTCAACTCCACAATATTAATAATGTTGTATTCAGTGTCATCATTAGTAAATAACGTCGATTTTCAGTTTTTATCGCCCTAGATTTTGTCATGAATTGATTTTGTATTTATATGATATTTGAATGCCAGCCGGGTAGTAACTTTAAACTAACACCATCAAAATATTTCAGAAGACAACTTCATAAAAGATTTCAATAAACTACTGGGCTGAGATACTCGAAAAAGATTCCTAAGTGTTGAATCTCTTAGAAAAGTGAACCGTTCATTACCTATTTTATCACTGCTAACATCATTCAACGTTAAACGTTTTAGAATTAAAGTTATAGTTGTCAAAGGATTTGTCGACATGAACGACGGCTAATTTTTCCAAAGCTTGTTAACTTGACACATATTATGTGGATTTTTTTAGCATAAGTGAGAAATTTCAAATATTTAAGGTTCACAGAAAATGTTTGAACATGAAGAAAAATCCACAACGTTACTGGTACTATTGTGCATAAGTTCGTTCAGTCGTTTTGTCACCTATATACATATGTATCTATATACCAATTACCTCCAATCAAATAAACAATATTATCTAAAAGTTTGTTGAATAAAAGAACTAACTTGTAATAATTTTTGCGCATTAAGGTACCGCGTAAGACCAGAGCTAAAAGCTTTAAACCAGTTGATTGTTAGGTCACCAAAGATGTTGACTGATTGAGCAGCAAACTCGTTTATTTTGAAGCATTTTCGCAGTTCTGAAGCTGAGTAACCAAATTCTACGTTTCTTTTTTCGTAAGTTAGGATGGAAATCATGAGATTTTGCAGATGCTGGTCAATAACATTGTAAGATACTTCTGCAGGCAACATTTTGAACATTTCTTCAACGCTGTGATAGAATAATGATCCATGGATATAAAGTTCCATATCCGTAATATCATTGCTTTTTGCGAAATCCAACAGGAGATTTTTGTTAAAGTGTATGAGTTTTGATGGAATCTCTATTTAAAATGTTATGATAATCCTGAAAGCCTAATTACCATTGAGATTAAGAATAATCTTTTCAAGTTGCCTGTATCCTGTTATATCTTGAAAAATCGCTTTATAACCATCCCTGGAATTCTTATACATAGATAACGTCCTACATAAATTAAAATTATCAATTCCAGAAGAATTCATTGGTCTTGGATTCCGCGTCATATCCCCATATATGTAAAGGAATTCAGGTGTCAAAAAAGAGAGGAGGAACAACCAGTACATTTACAGCCACTCATCAAACTATATAGAACATGTTGCGCAGTAACACAAAATGTAATTCAAGTTGTGTCGCAAAATATCCTAACCGTTGAAACAATTTGAAACTTTCAAACAAACGGTCTTTTACGAAGAACAAACTGTTTGCTCATCATGATATAGGTCCATGCTGTTAGATGTAGTTTTTATTCACAGTGTTTCTCGGATTTATAAATACTGTTTAGTAAGAAGATGATATTGGTATCACTGGTCTATTTACCTGTGAGTCTAAAATAAACGTCAAGAATTTTTATACAATAATTAGCATTAGGTACCACCAACTTTCCTTTCGGCAGTCAATTCTACAGTTTACTGACTTGAAATTTCCTAGGTGTTTTCTGTGCATTCTCGTTCATCTTCTATTGAAGATATTACAAGAATTTGGAGTTTGACAACACCTTAACTAGTAACAACTTCTATAATCGAAAAGTGCCAACCCGGTGAAATCACAAGTCAGAAGCGAAAAGGTTCGAAGATATATTTGAGAGGCTATCAGTATAACGGGAAATAACTGATCTAAACTGGCTAGCTGTTGTAGGAGAAGTCGAGCAGATGCGTGACCCAGCGCCTTCAGCTAGGTGAGTCCATTAAAACTAATCGTGTAGGAGTTTTGACCCATATTGATTAAAGATTATAAGGGATCCATGAATCACCCCGGAAGTCGAAGTGTCGTCCCATAGACGAGTTGTGATGCAGTATATCCAATATCAGCTTTTACCGCATTGCGAATATTAAGTGAAACGAATAGGAAAGTGTTGGTCTGTTGAATTGTGGTCTACTTCGTTGTTAGTACTGCTCCAATAATATACCTAATCCTAGAGTTTTAAATTTGTCATTTCGTAACTGCCTAATCTATAAAATCTTACGTGGAAGTCACATAATTGTCTACACTGACTCGTGCGTATATATATTTTCTCCATGACACTAACTCGTGTATCGTAACAATAACCAATGTATGCTGTAAAACTCATTCAGGGTGAAGATGGAACAATATATTTAATATAAGTCAAGCAAGTTTTACTGAGCGACTGCAGCTGCGAGGCTGAACCATTCCACTCGCTCGGATTCAATTCAATTCCCTCTTCTCGCCTTCTCCATCGTTAAGTTTTTTTCCGCGCTAAATTTTAAATATCTTGTTTTTCAGTTGTCTCGTTTCCAGCTTTGAGGATTGTGCGGTTAGGATTCAATGCCATTACAGGTCAACAGTGATTCACTTTCAGCTGAGTGGAGCTTTTAACTGTTTGTAAAATCGTTCTATAGACGATTTGCTTATGGATAGTTGTAGTGTTTATATGACCCACTTATTCTTTTGTACCTGGTGACTGCCTGACCTTGAATTCAGAATATAACACGTCCATTTATTATTATTTATTATTCACAAACATCTTATGGGTACATAAGTGTTGTGAATAAACCATTTCGGGTTTCTTCAAAAAATGCAATAATACACAATTTTCAATAATGTCAGCATTATACTTGCCATTTAAAAAAAATTAGAGCAATAACAGTAGAATATTTATAATAATAAATCGGGTCTGTGCAATTGAGAAGAATATTGAATTGAGTTTAAAGAAGGAAACGGAGAAAATAAGGGAACAGAAATAAAGGAGACCTGAAATATGCAAACATATTGGCATCGTGATGGCGCTATTGTAGTGGCATTGGACAATACCCACACAATCCACAAAGCTGTGAACACGAGACTACTCAGAAAATAGATATTCAATATTTAACGCGGAGAAATACCTAACAATGGAGAAGGCGCGAACAAGGAATTGAATGGACTGGAGTTGATCGAGTGGCATGGCTCGTCCATGCAGACGTGGTCCATCTCAGTGTTACTTTATATCTTCTATTCATATTAAATATATTGTTCTTTCTCTAGCCTAACCCTGTTCTACATCATGTATTTGTAATTGATACGATACAGTGAGTTGGTGTAGTCGATGGTGTGACTTCCACGTAAGATCTTATAGATTAGGCAGTTATATCATGACAAATCGACAAGTTTAGGATTAGGTTTATTATTAGAGCAGTACTAATATCATAGTAGACCATAATCCTACATTGGTGAGCCCAACTAAAGAAACGCAACCTATTATTATTAATCCTTATTTCCACTTCAACTTTCTCGATCGATTTTATATTTATGTTAACCCTGTATTCTAATAGTCCTCTGATTAATGCTCACATGCATCATTGTAATGTTATATTGATTAGTCCTCATGACAAACTAGCTCAATTGATAATAAAAACTGGTCGTCTATATTAACTAATTAGCTTTGATGGTTTGTTAACAAGCTGTAATAGCATTTACATGCTTCAGGGACATAGTCTTGTTTAAACATCAAGCTCTAGCAAATATGACCTGTAAATAGCGTAAATATACATTGACTAACAATGCGATCAAGGACTAAATAGTTATCTGGATCTAATTCTCAGTGTTCCTTCACTCAACACCTCATCCTGTTTTAAACGATGCACTATCCTGTAATATCTTTTCTTCTGACCACTGCCTGCCTAATTTCATATTCTCGAGTTCCATTGCCAAACAACGAAGATGACTACTCCAAAAACATACGGTGAGTTTCAGCTATAAGTTTTCTGCAATGATTTTTAGATGGTTCGTTCAATGACAACCATACAATTATCTGGATTCATTCGATTGTTCTGATCCGAGCGAGTGTCAAAAACCTCAACAGCATCAAGCACCCTGGAATTAATTGCCATACTGCATGTTTTATTCTGGATGCTTTTGGATCAATACTACTCACGAATGGCGTTATATATGTCGTCCATTGAATAATCTAATTTTCAAAAATAACCCAGGCGAGTTCAACTATTTTACTTAATGATTATTTGTACTTAACATGTATGTTTTCCAGTTGCTTTTGCCATATATTTGTAAGTGTCCGTAGGCTGAATCCAGTAACTTCTTATGGAATGTTTATAACGCGTCATATTCCTGCCTGAAGTTTCACAAGCAGTCTAAACTTTAAAATTATTTTCTGGTCATGTTCATTATTTTTAAATCGTCATATACGTCAACAACCTGCATGTTAACCTGGCCCATACATACGTTACACTATATCTCCATGTCTTCTAAATTTAGAAATCATCTGGATCGCCTTTAACATTTATCAATAAACCCATCATAGTCGTTGTTGCTAATCGTATTTGGGTTTATGGATTGGTTTATCATATTAGCAGCCTAAAATGCGAACATAGTTTAGATAATAAGATTAAAAATTTAGGCACTACCAACTGAACTAGTAAAATAACTAAATCCCCAGGTAGCTGTTGGCTAAACAAACGTTTAAAATCAAAACTCCATAGCCTACTAGAATTAACACCAAACGAATATTTCTGAATTGAAAATTATAATTAAATTAGGCGTCTCGGATTCTGTAACACTACAAATTTCTGATAATTTTGAATCACCTAAAGCAAAAATACCTCTTTTTCCACTGGCTAATCCTCAATCAACACTATAACTAGTTAAATTTAATAGTTTCAGGATATCGTCATAAAGCATTGTCATGACTTGACAATCACGTAATATGATTGATAAAATTAATGAAACTAGTAACGAAATCGGTCAGCAAATTGACTTATAAGTACCATTAACTGGTGTTGTTTTCTTGGTATCTTCATCCATCACAGATGATTACAGTATGTTTCTCTATCAGTTGCTCATTCAGTAAATATCTCAAAACCTTGTCAGTCTAATTGATGGTTTAGCGACACAATCATGCATGCAAATAATCAGTATAAGCAGTCGAGCAAATCTCCTGCAAACTGAAAACATCAATGTTGAATTTACCCCAACACTGACTAAGGTTCAAGCCATTATCATAGACATGAGTTGGGAGTGTACTCCCCCTGGTTACAACTTATGTTCTCCCTGATAATTACATGAGCATCACTCACTATTATTCATCTTGTAAAAACTTATTTAGCTAAATACATTTTGCAGCACCACATCACTTCGTAATATGACACAGGTCTAACTGATTTTAATAACTTGTAACCACTATATCTCAATTACATCGTGTTCCGCCTTATGATAAACTGCATACTTGCAACTAACTTGTATGTCCAATCAGCCGGCAAGTATAAATACAAATAAATAGTCTGCCACAGATCAGAACATTGAGTCTAGAGCATGTCTCTTACGAATACGCTCATGTTTAACGATTTGTTCCTAGCTATCTGTCCAAAATTCATATAATCATCACTCACGTATTTAAATTTTATTTTGATAACCATTCATGTGTATTAGTAGTATTACCAAATTCTATCACGGTCAAGTAAAAATGAGGTTGAGAAAATCTTCCCGTAACTAAATAAACCGTATCAAACTAACTGGAACACTAGTTGGAATTCTTTCCATGGTAATACTTTTGTTCTCCCAGTTAGTCTACTGATACAGATGCAATTGGAAATCAACTCTTATGGACAACTTACCGGCATAATCGTTATCCGATTTCATAATTTAAACCAAAACTAATACCAATATTAACATTTCTACAATATTCATTATTTTAATATTTCTAAACACAAAATACTTACTACCTATACGTTAAGTTATTAACCAACGGCTATTAACACGCATCGTATTATTATTATTATTGTAACCCCATTTTTTTTATAGTTCAAATAATCGTCACCCAAATTTTCATTTCAAGCGTTTTAAGCATGAAGGCAGATATTTTAAAATTATTACATGTATTTCCCGACCAGATGCTGCCGCCTTCTTTTTGATTTATCTTTCAGCTTAACAATAACCGGAGGATTCTTATTATCCTTGGTAACCTCCGGCGCGCGACGATCCCATCCAATATGGTATCGAACCAACATCACGTTGATTCTGGTGGGAGAGTAGTGTAGTGGCATTGGACAATAGCCACACAATCCACAAAGTTGTGAACACGAGACTACTCAGAAAATAGATATTCAATATTTAACGCGGAGAAATACCTAACAATGGAGAAGGCGCGAACAAGGAATTGAATGGACTGGAGTTGATCGAGTGGCATGGCTCGTCCATG